CCTCGGCTCGGCCGGGGCCCGTCCGCGAGCGCTTTGAGATGTTTTCGAGAGGGAGCGTGCTCAGCATCGCCTTCCCTGGCGCGCAGACAGGCGTGTCGGTGGGACCCCGCCGGTGTGTCCGCGCGGAAGGCCAGGCCCGGCCCCGCCACTGCACCATGTGGGCCCGGCCCCCGGCCCCCGGCCGCCGCGCGCTGCTACCGCTGCACAAGGTCCTCGAGGCCGCGCCGCGCCACGCCAAACTACCGCGACACATCGCATTGTATGTGAGATGCGGCCTAAAGGCGGGCGGCTCGTGCCGGCACGTACGCACCTCCCCCACCGGCCGATCCTCCGGGCGCTGAATCCACCCGCCCCGAGGCGCCGCGATATACGGAGCGGAGCGGCACGGCTCAGTCCGCGCAGCCATGTCGGCCGAGCTGCCCCCGCTGGTCCAGGGCGGCGCGCCGCTGTTCGCGTCCTGGAGAGGCGACTGTCCAGACGCAGCGTGTCACGGACAGGTGCGAGGGTAGGGCAGGTGCAGGGGTAGGGGTAGGGCAGGTGCAGGGGTTGGGCAGGTGCAGGGGTTGGGCAGGTGCAGTGGTAGGGTAGGGGCAGGGCAGGTGCAGGGGTAGAGCAGCGGCTACGCGTACAGGTCCCGGGGTTGGTGTTAGGGAAAACCTCACAGCTGCAAAGGGGGCGGACAGCCACCAGCGGACAGGTTGCGGTAGGACAACTATCGGGGATATGCTGCCAAGTAAAACAGAAAGAGAGAAGGGTGGAAAGAATATTTAGCAATATAGAGCGACCCTTGCAGCTGTCGGACAGATGCGAGGTTAGGAAAGGTTGGGCTATGGTCCAACAAGCTAGCGGACACGGACGGCTCCCGCCGGCCGTATACAGAATCAAGGGTTAGGGGCAGTGTGAATAGGGGATTCCAGCAGCTGGCGTGGATTGCGGTCGTAAGTAGGGCGTCAGAGGTTGGCGTGGTGCTAACAGAGGACTCTATCGCCAGGCGATGACGTCGCTGGCGCTCCTGCTGGCCGCGCTGGCCGTGGTGCGGGCCGACCCAGCCCCCGCGCCCGCACCCGCGCCAGCTCCCGCGCCCAAACCCGCGGCGCAGCTGGAGTTCGACCCCAACTTCGTGGACCTGGGCAACCTGCCCGGCAGACAGACGACGGCCCGCCCTCCCGGGGATGGCTTCCAAAACAGACAGTTCGACGTGGGCGGCCGTTCCCAGTTCGACGGCCAGAGGCCGATCGACGGCCTGGGCCAGAGACCGATTGACGGCCTCAGCCAGAGGCCATTCGACGGCGTCAGCCAGCGGCCCTTCGACGCTGGCCTCAACCGGCAGTACGACGCACGCCAGCAGCCGTTCGGCGATATCAACCAGCAGCCCTTCGACGCGGCAGGACGGTCCAACGGCGGCCGGCCGCCGTACGACATTGCGAGCGGCGGCCGCTACCCACCTCTCAACGGCGACGCCAACTTCCGCGGCGCGGGCGGCCGGAGCTACGACGGGCCGCGGGTGCCGCAGACCCTGTTCGGCGACGTTGGCCAGGACCAGATCAACGGGCCGTCGCCGTCGCTGCCGGGCGCCCCTCGGCCGGCGTCGTCCTACCCGGGCGACCGCGATCGCGACCGCTACAACGGCCCCGGCCTCAACGGCGACGCGCCGCTGCTGCGGCCCCTCGGCCTCGACGGCGGCCCCGGCGGCTTTGGCTCCACCGGCCCCGACGGCGCGCCCCTGCGGCCCCTGCCGCCGCCCAACTTCATCCCGGAGGGCGAGCTCCGCGAGCTGCTCGGCCGCGTCGACTCGCTCACGTCGCAGCAGTGCACGCACACCGTGGCCGCGCAGTGGGCCTTCGAGACCAACGTCAACGGCGTGACCCAGGTGTCCGCGGTGAGTACACTCCCGGCAGGCCTGTCGGTAATTACAGATAATGCGCGATGCGCTGCCGGTCGCCATGCAAATGCAGGGCGTCCGTCTCTCTCTATCTCTCTCTGTCCCCCCGCCGCCGCCGCCCGGCCCGCGCGGGTGCGACAAGGACGGCGCCGAGGAGAAAGTGACCCTACTGCCGCGCCGGCAACTGATAGGAGGGCGGCACGGCGCGGCGGCGCGCTACTGAAGGGTCACCGTAAAGGCTTGTACGACGTAAAGGGGGCGTCGACTGGCCGGCGTGCTGCTCGGTGTGACTTACGCACACTTTCACGCATAGGGTTAGGACCAGGCGGAAAACTGTGTAACATTTTGGTGACTGCCCTGCCTCCTGATCACATCGTCAATAAGAATGTATGTTCACGAAGATGTCCTCTACTGTCTAGGGTCCCCTATTAGAGAAGGAGGGGGCGACATAGAACTTCTGCCAGTCAACACTTACAGCGAGACGCCCCCTGCTCCCCTCCCCCCTCGCGCCACCACGCGCGCGCACTTCCACGCGTAACCGAGAGACAAAAGGGAAGCAGCAAAGGCGGATGCCCCTCCAAAACTATTATATTGGACATTCTCTCTCCCTCGCCCCGCTGCCGTGTCTCCCTTCGAAACATGACGTGTGCGCTCGCTCGCTCGCTCGTCCGACCCACACAATGTTGTGTGTGTCTCCCCCTTCAGGTCGTCGTCGGGGGGCCCGTGGCGCAACAGGGGACATAAACAACGCGATACGGGCGGACAAAAGATGGGACGGGCCGTGGAAAAAAAGGGCGAGGATAGGGCGGGGAAAGGTCTGGAGAAATGAGAAATGTTGTGGGTTTGTGCTGGAGAAAGACCCGCACTGAGGAGAGGCGGGCGACTTGTACATGGAGGAATTGGTAAAAGGTGGAGAGCCTGGAATTGGAAGGAATCGTTGGGGAGTAAGACCCCTGCTTTGCAGAATCTTATTGGAGTTAGAATGGCGTATCCTCCTGCGCCCCTCTTGGCCCGTGCTTGAGCCGCGGTGCAACAGCCAAACACGCTGTGCTGGAGGGTGCGCCCGGCAGCTGCAGTCCTGCAGGTGTTGCAGGTGCGCTGGGAGGGGCTGCAAGGGCGCGCTCTCTTGCGGGGACACGCGCCTGTTTCACAACGCGCGTCGCAGCGAGTGTGTTTTGGCCATGCGGGGCCACGCCTGCTGCCTCCATGGGCATGGTCGGCACAACCGAGTTGTAAGGGATGAGCCGTTCCGGATCTTGAGCCAAGCTGCACTTCTAGAGAACAGTAGCCCCCCCTCTTTTTCCTATCATACATACATTTCACGCACCTCCGCAGGTATGTGCCAGTGGACTCGCGAGTGGACTTTTCACTTTCCCTGCGCGCGCCCCTCTTTTGTTCAGAATAAAGCGGCTAGAGTTTTCGCGCATCCACGTCGTTGCAGTAAATCTGCCCCCGGACGCACGTCGCCGTCGTCGTCGTCTCCCCCGGAGACAAACGAGGCGAGCAGGCCTGTCCCTCCGTCATACGCGCGGCGCATTGGTATGCGCGGGGGCCCTGCGCGCGTGCCGAGACCTCAACGCAGGGCCAGCAGAAAACAGCAAAACGCGTCGCGGAGAGGCCGGGGTACAAAAAAAAAGTAAAATAGGAAGGCGCAGAAAAATAACAACCGCGCACGAGGTTTAAATAAAAGCGTTTGTTTGCGGAAGAAGGGACGTACGTACTAACACGCCGAGCGCTTGCGTGCCTCCCCAGGCTCTTCTTGAGCAGCGCGTCGTGCGGCCGACGCGCGGCACTTTGCATCTCACACGACGCGACGCGCGTGGCCCCGTTAGGATTCGCGCTTATCAGCTCCAGCTCAGGGCGCGCCGGCCCCGCGGTGCGGCAGGGACGCCTTCAGGGCGGCGTTGGCGCACATCAGGAGAATCACAAATTCAGCGACAAAGCAAGAGGGATTTTCATTTTCCCTGACTTTTCCTACGTTTAAAAATAAAATAATAGAAAACTCAACACGCAAGCGCCCGATCTGGGGGGACTTTTCATTCTGGTAGAGACCGTCTTGGGGATTGTCTATACAGGAATGTGTTCCTTCTTTACTACCAGCAGATCCATCACTGGTCTGCTAACAACACGCCCGGTCACCGCGCACGCAAAGGCACTTGCACGGCAGTTTAGCCGGTGGTACAGTCCGCCTCAAAGCCGCAGCTCAGCTCTCCGCTCCGCTTCCGGCTGAGGGTCGTGAGTGATTCTGCATCTGGGGGGGGGGGGCGTCGTCAGTCCGTTTGTCGTTCATAGAGAGGAGACGCGGTTTTGCAGGTCTCCGCGATGAGGCTTTCGGAGAAGCGACGACGAGCTTCCTCGACGGCGATGATGAAGGCGACGCGGCGACGACGACGGCGAACGCAAAGTGCGCCGCCGCGCGCGCAAGGACGCCCCACACAATGCAGCGGGAAAATAAATTCACTTTTGTTTCCCCGCTCCGCACTCTCCACTCCACTCCTCTTCGCGAGACGGGACCTAAACAGGCGCGGCCGGAGCGCGGCACCTCGCCTCGCCTCGCCTCGCGGGCAGCGCGCGGTCGTCGTCGCGTCGCAGAGTATGAGAAATTCGGCCGGCGACTCGGCCGGGTTCATCAAAGCGCAGCAGCGGGAGGCGGCGCGGGGGCGGCGGGGAGCGGGGCCCCGCGCTCGACGGGGTGTTTCCTGGCGAATTAACCGCGGTGGAGTGGACGCTCGGCCCGGCCCCGCCCCCGCCGCACCGCCCGCCCGGCTCTGACGGTCAAGGTCGACTCCGACGCCGAGACGCCTCGCGCGGGGCCGCCACGCCAGGCCACGCCGCCGTGCGCGATGACCTGACGTTGGGATTAGTGACTCACGAGGTGGACAAGACCCTGTCAATTATGTATGTGTCTTGCGCGCCGAGCTGAGTTTCCTAGTAAAGTATATGTTGTCCGGGCGGACCCGAGCAAGCGCGGGGGGCTTCGCTGAGTGAATCGTTCCGTATAGTCATGCGTTATTTTCTCTTGCAAGGGGCAACGAGTGTTGTTGAGCGAGGGAGGGGAGG